CACACAGAAGTAGAACTGTTGGGTCATATGGTAGAACTATTTTTAGTGTGTGTGTGTGGTTTCTTTAATGAATCTTGACATTGTTGTGCATAGTTCTAGCCACCATTTTAAGTAGGATCTTAAAAGTGTCACCTTCCTTCCCCCAGCAGAGTCTCCAATAAATACATTGGTCTCCCTCAGAAAAAAAAATCTCATGAATACGTTTCCCAACTTTGTAGTTAACTTTTTGCTTGGATAGGATAGTGTTGCATGATTAAAAAACCATCCTCATATATATATATATATATATATATATATATATATATATATATATTTATATATATATATATATATATATATATATATATATATATTTTTTTTTTTTTAAATACATATATATATATATATATATGTATTTTTTTTTCCTGTTAGCCTTTCATGAGACAAGCATGTAATTATCCATTATAATTGGGTTCTTTCTTATTCATAGATGAGAAGAACAATATTTGAAAATTTTGAACCAGTAACTCAAGTACAACTGGGCAGTAACTGGGAAAACAGTCACTAGAAGTAAGAGTGAAAGGGGGATTTTGAATGATTATGCATAACCATAATGTGTAAAAACTGGGATTTCTAAAACCCCCAAACATAGTGACCGCGATAATTATGGAAGTCACTATTGTCATTCTGTTTCATGATTCTTTGGGTTTAGGTCAGTTCTTGTACTGATTTGACCTGGCTCATTGATGTGACTGTAGCCAGCAGGTACCTCCCCTGAGCCAGGTTGCTCTCAGGGGATTCATTAAGGCTTCAGCTGTGATGGCTGGAGGCTGGAGCAGCTGGGTGCCTTTCCTCATGGAGTCCCACCTCCCGGGCTTCTTCAGAGCATGGAAAATCTCCAGATGAGTAGGAGGGCCGGATTGGAAGGCTAGCCTGGGAAGTTCCATGCCACCACGCTTTTGGTAAAAATAAGTGAGGACTTCAGTGCTTGTCAAGGGATGAGGAAACAAACCCGGCCTCTTGAGGGGCAGTGTGGCAGTCCCACTGTAGAGGGCGGTGGACAGGCAGTTTGGGTTCCCTGAGGACCAGTTTCGTAAGAATCTACCACAGTGGCCGTATGTTTCTTACTTTACAAGAGCATTCACCTCTTTTTCTCATTTAGTTTTCACAAGAACCCTGAGAGTTGGTATACTTTTTCCATTTTTGGAGGTGAGAAACCTAAGGTTCTGAAGAGTCCAAATTGATCTATGATGGCAGAGCTAGGATTTAAAGTCACACATTGTCAACAACAATCATGAATAAGACAAGCACACGTCTTCCCGTTTTCCCAAGAGTAGGTTATAAATTCTAAAGCCTACTGTAAACTGGCTAAATAATGTTGAAACATCTGAGGTACAATCTCAACACTTATTAGAATTTTCAAATTACAAATTAATGTTGTAAAGTGACATAGAAATTATTAATTTTGTTCTTAATATATCTTACACCTTTAGGAATTTTAAATACAAGTGCCTTTCCCTATTTTAAATTACAGTTTTGCTTAGGAATAAATATAAAGGGAAAGAAGCTCTCTGATATTCCAGATGTCAGAATTCACAAATAAATGTATCAGACTCTTCTCTAAAACACTCTTCAGGCTTTGTCCCTCAAAACCGAGAAGGCAGTTTATAATGAACTGTAATCTCACTTGAGTTCCCTCCATTCTAACTGCACATCTCATTTTAAAGCAGAGCTAACAAAAATGGCTGAGAAAAGCAATTGAGAAGCAGCTCAGCCATAACAAAAAATTATGTTGGACCTTAACGTCCTGCAGGTTCCTGCTCCACTAAATTCACACAACCCTCTCTTACCTTCTATTGGAGAGGGAACATTAAAAATGATATGTGCCCATATAGAAATGGACATAATGTGTATATTTAAACAAACATAAAGTTATACATCCACACATACACTACAATCCATGGACTTTTAAATCCAAGGACTCATTATAGAGTCATGTTTAGTTGGTAATGACCGCATTGAGATTTGTTCTAATTTACCAAAATGGGAACTACTTGGGGAACTGACAAGAACAAAACAAATAGGAAAAGATCTGGATTTCTGGAGGTAAGACGTCATTTTGGAAGACATAATGGTATAGAACAGTGGCTGTTTTAAACAACTAATGATTCATTTTATGACCTACCTATCAAGATGAGTGAATGGGACCTCAACTATCAGCTTGTTAAATTAAGTATAAATTCAAATAAATGATCATTAGAGTAGTGGTATGACAAACAGGGAGCAATAAAGATTTTGAACCCAGCACCACCCATTTGCAGAATCAAACAAATTATGACATTTTTCTGTGTAAGCAAGTAGAAACTCGATAAAGTTATCTACAGCATTTAACTCTTAGATTTCTGAGAATCCACACAAAATGAATTCATTGTTCCTCTTTAGATAATAAACACCTCCAAAGCACAAGAAGTCTTAAGCCGAAATAGAGGATTCAAAAAAGAAATGTTATTCAAAACTCCCAAAGGCAAAATCATTTTCAAAAATCAACAACAAAATTTTTCCCAAGTGTCAGCATCATATCTTTTGTTTTCACAGTCCATTTACTCTTCTCACCATATATCCCCATTTCCCTATTTTTTTGATAATGTTTGCTTCTGGGAGAGAGGAGGGAAGGAAAAGGTGAATGCACATTTTTTGCACAAACGATTACTTTTTGGTTAGCCTAGCAACATTACTTTGCATATTGATGATCATTTCTTATTACTTCACAGGATCCTTTTTATAGGCAGAGGAACTGAATATAGAGTTAAGAATATGTTTTCTTATTTAATCATTTACTCTGAGGTTAGAGTTGGAAAGCATATTTATCTGATTATTTTTTAGCTTGTGGCCTGTGGGTATAATTTGGTCAAATATATTTTGTTTTCACAAACCTTTAGCATATTTGGAGAAAATAGTCAATATGTGACTCTTCTCCTTCCTTACCTTCATCCAGACTGTTACTGATTCACAGGCAGTCTGAACCATGGGGCAATTACTTGTTTTCTCAGAGAAGAAATGATGACTCAGAATTGTGTACCAAATTATTTCCTTTTATGAAGCTAAATCATTTCCAGGAGGTATGACCATAATGTATTTGCCTCCAAGTGTGGCCATCAGGATGACTGGTTGCCTGAGCTTGACTTCTTTGTATGACGTGAGAGCATTTTCTTCTTTATTTAAATGAATGACCTTTAGTAGTTGTGACTTTGTAAGTCACATCTGTTAGTTTTGAGAAATTCAAAGTTTATGTAAAGTTCTTGTAGGAACTCAACCAGTAATACTTCAGCGGATGATTAGCTATAATCATATAGCCATACGTTATTATAACTGTGCCAAGTGTTTATTTTTGTCTTCCCAAAACTACTTTTATTGGCAATTCAATAAACTTTGAGCCCTCTCCACACACTATACTCCAGGTCTCAGTGCCTTTTCACATTATTTTTCCACCTAGAGTTTTCTTCTTTTCCCACTTCTACATGTCTACAAACTTCTTAGTCTTCAAAATTCACTCTGTCTGAGTCCTTACTGAGCTTCCAGTTGAAAATGACTTATTCATCTTTAACCTGCTCCCCCTCATCATAGTTTTGTTTCATGAACAGAATCATAATTCTTAACAACAGTTTCTAGTTTTGATAAAAGTGAAATGCACAGTGTCAAATTATTAAAATGATTATTGCAAAACCTTGGAAACATACCTTCTGAGCAACTCATTTATTTCTGTTTTATTTATTTTGTTAATTCCCAGTTGTTAGCTTTTTATTTTTTATTTTATGATTCCCAACAATTGGGACCTTAAGACTACTTTGTTAGGAAAGGCAGGTAGTACATTTGGGGCTGTAGATCCAGTGCTGAATTAAGTCAGCTGTGTGATTCTATAGTATGCAAATGAATTGACCTTTTTGGGTTCTTCTAGCCACATATTTTACTAAATAAACAAACAAACAAACAAACAAACAAACTCATGTTTACCAAATTCCATCATATAACATATTCTACAATCTATTTCTTACTAGAGTGTCCAAACCCCAATTTCCCACAACCCTTTACTTTTGTGTAGTCCCTTTAGGATACAGCACAGTTATATGCATTAAAAAACCATACCTGCTTACTGATGCTGTACCTAAGGTTTTAATCTAATTGTTCTGGGAAAGATCTAAATGCAAAAGGGCCAGTTTTAGCTCCTTTGGAAAAATTTAACCCAAAGATACCATGTTTTTTCCTGTGGTTCTCCAGTTACCTGAAACCATTCCTAGGATCCTCTAAAAACCCTCCTGGGGAAAACATACACACACACACACACACACACACACACACACACACACACACACACGATAAAACCACAAACCCCATGAAAAAAGAAAAAAAAAAAAAGGCTGAGAATAGCCAATTCCCCTCCAGCTCCCTTGCACCTCTCCCCCCCCAACCCCCCCCCTTTGAGTGCATCCTGCCAAAAGTCAGGTTGAGGCGTCCTGCCCCACGCCTGAGAGCAGAACCAGGGCAGATTGTTCCAGGCTTCCCACCGGCGCTCCCCCCGGGGGGGGGCCGGGCCCCTTTAAATCGGTGCCCAGAGCCGGGAAAGATGCTGAGCGACGCAGGCGGGATGGGCGTGGGCCCGGCCATCACCTGTTCCGCGGCGCGCACGCGCACTGCGCGGGGGCGGGGCGCGGGGGCGGGGCGGCGGCGCGGGGCCACCGCGGCTTCTCCGGGCTCCGGTCTGCGCGGCGGCGGCGGGGAGCTGTCTGTCTGCCGCCCAGGTTGCCTGGCGCTGTCCAACATGGAGGAGGAGGCACGGGCCGCGGGCGTCAGCACCTGCGAGCGGGACTAATCCGGCCCCCACATCCCCCCGCCTGCTGTCCCGGGGAGCGGCGCCGGGTCCGAGCCCAGGACGCTCCGCTGCCGCTGCTGCTGCTGCTGCTGCTGCTGCTGCCCGCACAGCCGGCTGCGGCCACGGCTCCGGAGGGGCCCGGCGCCCGGAGGGAGCGCGGCGGCGGCGGCGGCGGCGGCGGCTCCGGGCGGCCTCAGCCATGGGCAACGAGGCGAGCCTGGAAGGCGAAGGGCTCCCCGAAGGGCTGGCGGCGGCCGGCGTGGAGGCGGACCTGAGCCGGCTGAGCGAGGACGAGAGGAGGCAGATCGCCGCCGTCATGTCAAGGGCGCGGGGGCTGCCGGCGGGGAGCGCGTCCGCCGCCGCCGCCGCCGCCGCCGCCGAGCCGCCTCCCCGGCACAGGCACGCACCGCATGCTGTTCCGTGTCCGCGGCGTCTGTGTCATATATGTGCGGCTCTCCCTGGCACATGCGTGTCAGCACGGCGGCGCATATATGTGTCCTTTAAACGTTGGATGGATCCTCCCGAATGAATGGGGTGGCTTTTAGGAGAAATCATAAAGCCTTCTTTCTGATGGGCAGAGTGGAAAAAAAAAAAAAAAGGATGCCTTTGGTAGACTTTCTGGTGGGATGGGCAAGGGTGGCTTGCATTGCATTCTTGGAACCGTGATTTGGGGTTGTAATTTTTATTATTATTATTATTATTATTATTATTATTATTTGCCTTTTGGAACCTTTTGCCCCCACTAGGATGGCGAGGAGAGACGCCCTCCCGTGTATTTACTAATCTGGAAGTCTTGCATGCATACCAGACAGATGTGCTGGGAAATGGATCGGTGTGGGTGTTTACCTGTCTCTGGTTAAGACCTCCTCAGTCATTTGGGGGGGAGGGGGGGTCTTTTCTTTTTTTTCTTTTCTTTATATATGTCTCCATGTGTCTCTCCCAATACCATTCATTCCCTGGAGGTGTTGTGTTTTGTCCTTCCTTGCCATCCACCCCCCAGAGGAGAGCGGGAGCTGTTGAGGTAGAAGGTATAAAACGAATGCACCCTTTATGCTCAGTGCAGGGCCCTAAAATACGCTGTGGCATTCAGCAGATGGGTTGGTCACAGACAGCAGAGCAGGTGCTGTACGTGTATTTCTGAATTGGCATAGGCTTTTTTTTTTTTTTTTTTTTTAAACCGCTGCTCTTTTCTATACAGGAGTGCCTTACAGTTTTATGAAAGAGCATGTCCATTGGTGGTTATGTTTAGTTTCCAGTTCATACTTTTAAAGGCAGAGCTAGATCCATGACAGCTCGCACAGGCCATCCAGTGCTAGTCTGAGGTGTGAACGTGCTCATTTTCCTTCTCTGGCTCTCCATTTCCCTTCGTCCTGATAAATTGGTTGTTTTTCTAATTAGTGTACTAAAGAGGGTATAATCATCGTGCCAGCTCTGCCTTCATTATTGTAAACAGATGCTTTAACTTTCCCCCCTCCCCTAGAGAAGAGTTCTCTATTGGTGAAACCATTCCTGCTTTATGATAACTGGAGGGGAAACTACATGTTTTTTCATTTGAAGTATTAGAAATATTGCAGATCTGAATATATGTAGGTGTAGCTTATTATACTGTACTTCATAAAATATTTAACTTAAATACTGTCATAGAAGCATATGCAAATGATTGTGTCAAATGATTACAGTGCTACATTTAATGTAGGAGAACTGTAAAAATGAATTATGGATACATAAAATGTTTTATGATAGTATTTTTCATATAAAAATCCCAAAGGCCTAAAATCTATCAGGTAAAAACCCTATTTTCTTGAAATGAAACTACCACTGCTAGTTAAGTTAGCTACTTATATTGACTATGTGTTTTGTCTTGTTTTTTAAACTACTAATATATTGGGCTATTTCTTTGGTAAAAAAGCCCTTATCCATTATTCGAAGTAGTACAGCTATGTACTATTTTTCTCTACAGATAAAAATTTGACTTGGAAAATATTTTGAATGCGCATATACTAGATTTCCATAAGATAATAATGGGGCACAATATTTCTATTAACCTTCTAGAAATATATGCCTGCTCAACAGTTTTTCCTAAGAGGCATAAGCAACAGGTTTAACATGCTTCTTACAAATACCAAGAAAAGTGGGAGCTTTGATTTCTAAATTCCTAACTTTTCTTCTTTCAGAGGATGTCTGAAAAAATATTTCAGCCTTTGTTTTATGCACTATTTGTATTAAATAGCATACTTTTAAACTCTCTATTAATAATTTTATGGTAGAATTTTTATTAGTAGGTAATTTATGACTTCTTATTGGTTAAAGCTTCACCTAATTATATAAACAATATATTTCTAATTTTTGCAACTTGCTTATATTTTACTGAAAATTTTTATAAGAGGCACATAAGTTTTAGAAAATTATTATCCCCATAGGTGATACCAACAACAAAAAAATACTTGGCTTATTTAAATATTTAGAAACACATTAATTTAAGTATATCTGAGAAAATATATGCAAATTATTTGAAGTTTTAAGAGATTAAGTGCTGTGAATTAGACACAGTTGGATATGATTTTTAAAACATCTTTTTAAGAAATATGGGTTGAGAGCCCAGGGACCTAGGTTTTTATTTTGTTAATTTTACCGACTCATGAGAAATTATAAATGCTTCTCAGTCATATGTGCCTCAGTTTCCTTTCTTCTAAATAAGACAGGTAATACCTGTCTTACCTGTCTTGTAAAGTCATTCATTGTGAGGATCAATTAAAAATTCAGAAGGACATTTTTGTTTGAATTTTAAAATGGAAAAAAAAACTTATAAATAAATAAAAGTAGTAATATTAATATCAGTAGTGAATAGCACTGGCAGTGATGGCTACAGACAAGTTGTATGTTGAATTATTCATTAGTATGAATTAGTTTGATATGTCTATATTTTACATATTGGACAGTCAGTGCAATATAGTGGAAATCTCCCAGGAATCAAGGCACCATATATCTGTGACTAATTTTATAACATTGGGTTCATTTCTTAGCCTCTTTAAGCCCTAGTATCCTACAGCATAAAAACGAATTCCTGTAGTTGCTTGTATTTCTAATGTAAAATTTTATGTGGCTCAGCACATGAAGTTAAGTGTCATCGCCTATTGTGCTACACTTAACAAAATATCCCAGCATTCCAATGGCTTTTACAATCTACTCTTAAGTACATGTGTACCTTATATGTAGATGAACCAGTTTCCTCCTGCTGACCTAAAAAAAGAAAATTCTACCCTGGGGAGGACAGTAGTAAAATAGTGATATTGCATAAATCATGGATAATTATAAGCAAGGAGTCACAGGTTACAAATATAATGTTCTTAGATTTTTGATTCGACGTAGACCTAGGGAAATGCCATTTTATTACTTCTCCTACACATTCTTTCTACAGCTGCAGAAATGTCATGTGAAAAGGAATGACCAAAAACCACTTTTAATTAGTGGAGTATTTTATAAGAATTCCGAGTTTCGCAATTATTTTCTTTAGCATTCCTTTGAGCCTCCCCTACTGTCTAGACACTTCCTAGAGCAGCAGGCCAAATCCAGGATCTAAAAAGAATATGGCATGCTTCCAGTTATATCCCAGAAGGCCTGTGGAAGAATTTGAAGTGGAAAGAATTCAGGAAACATTAATTTAGAACAATACAAAACTTGCCATGTTCATCATTCGCTCACTCATTGTAATTCACTCGTCAGTCATTAATGCTCATTTACTAATAGTTAACAGGTTTGGTTCTAGTAGTGCAAGGATGAGTGAAACACATTGTCCAGGGGTTCATAGTCAAGTGAACAAGACATGGATGGCATTGTAGTTATTTTTCTTTTTAACAGAATAACTGTCCTACTAAACAAATTCACCAAAAGACCACAGTTTGCTAAGACAACTTTATATTTTTGTTTGGTATGGAGCCTACATTTTCTCTTTTCATATTTCATTTTTCCATCATCATTTATCCCCTCCAACCTCTCTTCAATGACTATTTCTCACTCCCAAGATTTCCATGTTTTATGTTTATTTGCATAATTATAGCAACTAAGACTAAGTTTAAATAGTAAGGCAACCTTGATAGTTATATCGGAATTTTTTCCCACAAAATAGAAGATAATTAAGAATATATTTTTTTAGTATTGTGTTTAAATATACATTTCTAGGACTCTGAACAAGGGAACCAATTCAATAAAGTGTCTAAATAATTACTTATAAGATAGTCACTTGTATAACAGAATCCCGAAGTATGTCCTACAAGGGAGTGATCCATTTTATTAATTGAATGTGAAACATTTCTAGAATAATATAAAGAGCTAAACAGTGGTTTACTATGGCTTTTTCTTTCATATGGAAGAGAACACATAGGAAGGCCTATAAAGAAAAATTCAAATTCATTTTTCCCAAATGAAAATATGTGGCTATACATTTAAAAACATATCTTAAAACTATTGGAGTTAATATGGTTAATTGATTTTACTCCCTTGATTAAAGGGTTAGCTTTTACTCCCTTGTTAAAAGCTTCAGAGATATGGTAATACCTGAGTTTTGTGATATTTTTTTCTTGGAGGAAATTGCCAGAACTACGAATTTTATGTATTATCTTTTATAAGAAAATCACTTTGTGCATACCATTTATAGATTATTTTCTTTCTGACCCTTTCTTAATTAGAAGTAATACTTCAGTGTTTCTTCTACCATGCCTTACATTATTTACTTACAAATGATCTGAAATTTAAAATTCAGTCTGTCCATGAGCAGGTATATTTTGATAAGACAAATTAAAACCTATAGAACTTTGTTGTGATCATCTCACATTTTAAGTGCTACTGAATCACTGTTTTTCCTTCATTTTTTCCCCTATTAATTAAAAAGAGGTAAATCTTTTCCAAAATGAAAAAGCTACATATATTAAACAGAATACTTGAAATTTGATTTATTTTTATACCTCTAATGCAGCATAGTCTTAGTTACAAATTTATAAACAAAGAAGGACTTAAAAATTAATGTACTTGATTTTTGACTAAAGGTGTATATAAGAAGCTATTTTAATACTTTAACATATTAATTTAAATTGGATCCTCTTACCAAAACTATTTTAAGTTATCCATCTATATTTGTCTTTGATTTAAAAGATATCCTTCAAATTAATTACTTCTTACAGTTTAAAGTCAATGCGAATAAATATTATTAGTAATCTAAGAATAGCAATACTATATGTTGTAGAAAACATTACTCAAGAATAGCATACATTTTCTTCATCTAAGAAAAGTGGCAATACTTTTCAAAAGTGCCCTCACAGCTAGCTTGTTGCGTTTGGCACCACAGGCTATATTTCAAGATGTTTTAAGCATCTGTTGTCCCCTTGCAAACAGATCTCAGATTGAGAATTAACTATTAGAAAAAAGTAATTCAGTGATCTAACAGTCTTCCACAAGACAGATGGAACTGTTTCCTGAAAGTTGCTAATTAAGTAGAATTTTTCATTCTATAAAGTTTAATATTTGATGGGTATTACCTTTTTAGACAGAATAGTGTAAATTGACTAGATCACATGTGTCAAACACAAGGCCCTCGGGCCAAATCCGTCCCGCCAGGCCTTGCAATGTGGCCCGCACCACGCTGTCATCACTGCACTCCGCTGCGTTTCCATCACAATGACAGTTTATGACTGTTCAGTAAACCATTCGGCCCGCGATTTAGGCTGGATTTTAGATTTTGGCCCCTTCTCTGATTGAGTTCGACACCCCTAGACTAGATGATCATTTTATCAGAGTCCCTGATAAGTGTAACCTTCTATACTAGAAACTCTCTTGATATTACAACGTGAACAAACAACAAAAAGCAGTTGCAGCGAACTCCCACATTTTAAAATGAATATTTTTTACTTATTAGTGCTGCTAGTATTTTGGAGACTAACATATTTTGGGCATATCTTGTGATGGAAAAGGACACATCCTATGAACATGCATGTACTGGGATATAATGTTGCTGAGTTAATATATTTATTTATGTTTTAAATATGGCCAGATTCTATTAAGTGTAAATGTAAATGACTTATTATGAATACTTCCTGGCTAGATATCTTAATTTTTCATCACTCATAGTAATAAGTATTGTTTTATTTCCCCTTTTCTTTGCCTTCATGTAAAAGAAAAATTTAACTTTCTTTATAAAGAAAGTAATAAAGGCATTAGGTGTTTTAGATCACTTACACTCAGCTATAAAAGTAGATTCTAGTTATATTTATACTGTTATAATTTTGAGGATTTAAGAAAGTGATGCCCTTTTGCTATTGCTTTCGTTGTGATAATTTTAATCATTTTCATTTTTTTGTTTGTTTGTTTGTTTTGTTTCACTCTTCTAGGAAACAAGAGTTGGATAGTAGTCACCTTCCCAAGCCGCCAGGAAAACCGCCCGACCCAGGGCATCCCGCTCAGCCTGGCCTCAGTAAAAGCAGAACTACGGACACTCTGAGGTCAGAACAGAAATTGCCTGGAAGGAGTCCTTCCACTATTAGTTTGAAAGAATCAAAGTCCAGAACTGATTTTAAGGAAGAGCACAAGTCTGGTATGATGCCTGGCTTCCTCTCAGAGGTTAACCCATTAAGTGCTGTCTCCTCTGTTGTAAATAAGTTCAATCCCTTTGATTTGATATCAGACTCTGATGCATCCCAGGAAGAAACTGCCAAGAAACAAAAAACAGCTCAGAAGGAACAAGGAAAACCCGACGGGACCACAAAGCCTCCGTCACAGCAGCAGTCACCCAAGTCAGTTCCTAAGCAGCAAGGACCTGTGAGGGCCCCGCATCAGCAGGATGGCTCTCCCAAATCGGCATCTAGGCAACCAGAACAAATGAAATCACAACCTCCAGGGACCGGGAAGCCAATTCAGGGACCTACCCAGGCTCCTCAGACAGATCAGACGAAATTGCCGCTCCAAAGAGATGCCACTAGGCCTCAGACTAAACAGTCAGACACGGTGAAGGGAGAATCCCTCAAACCCTCGCTGCAAAGCTCGTCCAAACCACCGACTCAGCAAACGAGCCCTGGAAAGCCTCCAGCCCAGCAGCCTGGACCTGAAAAATTTTCCACGCCACAGCCTGGACCTGCAAAACCCTCAGCTCAGCAACCAGGGTCAGGGAAGACCCTGGCCCAACAGCCAGGGGCAGCAAAACCCTCCGCTCAGCAGCTGACAGACAAACCCCCAGTCCAGCCACCAGGGACAGTAAAGCCTGCAGCTCATCAGCCTGGGTCAAAGTCTCCTGCTCAGCCTCTGGGACCAGCAAAGCCCCCTGCTCAGCAGACGGGGCCACCAAAATCCCCAGCTCACCAACCTGGGCCGCAGTCTCCAGCTCAGCCAGCTGGGCCTACAAAGACACCTGCGCAGCAGGTTGGGCCAGTGAAGTCTCAGGCTCAGCAGCCTGGGCCAGGAAAGACTCCTGCTCAACAGCGTGGCCCAGCAAAACCCCCAGCTCAACAGCCTGGCCCAGCGAAACCCCCAGCTCAACAGCCTGGCCCAGCGAAACCCCCAGCTCAACAGCCTGGCCCAGCGAAACCCCCAGCTCAACAGCCTGGCCCAGCGAAACCCCCAGCTCAACAGCCTGGCCCAGCGAAACCCCCAGCTCAACAGCCTGGCCCAGCGAAACCCCCAGCTCAACAGCCTGGCCCAGCGAAACCCCCAGCTCAACAGCCTGGCCCAGCGAAACCTTCAGCTCAACAGCCTGGCCCAGCAAAGCCCTCAGCTCAGCAATCTACCAAACCTGTAAGCCAATCAGGAGCTGGGAAACCTCTGCAGCCGCCGACTTCTCCATCTGCAGCCCAGATTCCAGTACAAGGCCTCCCTAAAACCATCTGTCCTCTTTGCAACACTACTGAACTTCTGTTGCATCTTCCAGAAAAGGCCAATTTTAACACATGCACTGGATGTAAAACCACTGTGTGCAGCCTCTGTGGTTTTAATCCCAATCCTGATATAGCCGAGGTGAGTGCATTTATTCAGTGTGTCCATGCTCTTAAACCATATTACCATCTTCCACAAAGGATGTTTCACTTAACCGCTGGTATGATAGGATGGCATTGTTTTCCTCTGGTTCTTTCCTTCTTTCCCTTCTTGCTTCCTCTTTATCTTTTCTGCCAATTGCAAGTTAGAGTTTTTAAAAACCTTTTCTTCAATAATAACCCTGAAATATTGCCACAGTTTCTGATACATTTGGCATATAAAGCAAATGTGAAGTGGTTGAAAGATGCTGCACTCTGTAAGAACCACAATATTTATTATTTAGTATGTAGTGATATTACTTTAGTTTGAAATTCATGCTTCTGCCTACCAAAATTATGATACTCTTACTTGGGATCATATTTGTGCTGGGAAGACAAGTTTTCTAATTCTAATAGAATTTTAATGTAAAGTTCAATATATTTTTTTTTTCCAAACCACACATATCCCTTTTCCTTGACAGAGATTTGGATATCCCCTATGAGGGCATGCTTCCCTCATTAGTTGAGAGTCATTAATAATAGCATAAGTCAGTTCATAAAATGAAGAAGTCATTAGAGAAGGTTCAACATTGATGGGTGTCCTTTCAGAAGGATCATAGTTTATATTTCAAGTCTTTGAAATTAAATTAAATTATATTATATTAAATTATAAAGGGGTGCCAAAACCAGTTTGGCTCAGTGGATAGAGCGTTAGCCTGGGGACTGAAAGGTCCCAGGTTCGATTCCGATCAAGGGTATGTACCTTGGTTGTGGGCACATCCCCAGTAGGGGGTGTGCAAGAGGCAGCTGATCGATGTTTCTAACTCTCTATCCCTCTCTCTTCCTCTCTGTAAAAAATCAATAAAATATATTTTTAAAAAATTATAAAGGGGCTGGTAGTGCCACAAATGAATTCAAATTGTTTATTCTCAATGAGGATAGAAAAGTAATTTTCACCAAAGTCAAGGTAAAAACTTGACAACATTGGTAGAGGAGGGACAAAAAGCAACAAATAGCTGAAAAACTCAAATTCTCTGGAGTTAAGAAGTAATACAGTGAAGATAAGATAATATCATCAAATAAAGTGAGAATAAAGATGCTTAGCATCTAAAAGAATATATATTTTTAAAAGAAATCTGGCAGCTGGGTAGGCACAGAAATGGTTTAGTCTGTCGGGAGGACAGCTGTTGTTGGGCTGTGTGCATTATGTCTGGAACAGCCCAGGAGAAAAACAAAAACGACAGCAGACAATGAAGGATTATGTGATTTAAATACCCCTGAGAGGGGAGATGTGTGTATAAAGGAAATCTATTTTAAGAAAACAACAGGAATGAGGATTGATAACTATTATGCTTGTTTGGATACTTAGGGTGATGAAAGATGAAAATTATGTGCATTCAAAATGTGACAAACTCTTGTTATTTTCTAAAGTGTCTTTTAATCAAAAGTCATATTGAGTACCTTAACTTTTTAAATAAGTTTTTCTTTAATGATAAAGTTTCAATTAATAAGGACATGCTACTTTCAAGTTATGGAGGAAACCAGATTATAAGTATTTTGTTTATGCATTTATATATTTTTAAATGTTGATAAAGGTATATTTCTACCCACAATATATGACCGTGATAGGAATGTCCAGTAATAATGACTTCAAAGAATAGATTATTACTTTGTAAAGTATTTTCTATGTTTTTATGGCAGTTTATAAGGCATAAATATGCAGTTGAAAACTCAAGCCATATACACAGTGGGGCATAAGTAGGTTTACAGTTGTGAGTATGCAAAAATAGAGTTTATTTTTGTATTATTATTTATTAATTATTATATTATCTTCCATATGAAAACCATAAATCCACTTTTGTCCCATCCTGTATATTATTTGAGTGCATACCACATGGAAGACATTTTACTCTATATTTTGTGAGATATAAAAATAACTAAAACATAATGCTGATCTTAACATGATCAAAATGTACTAGTAGGTTAGATAATACATGCACAAAGAAATATACTAGGTGGTCAAATGATGATGGCTGTCTTAAGGGTAGGAAGTGTCATTTTCAATGGGCGAGATTAATGAGAAGTCAGTGGGGAAAGTGGCATTTGAGTGGCATATAAGGCTGGGTACTGTTTCTGTAAATGAAGAACAGGAAAGGCTGTAATGGTTTCGTTCAAGACCTAGAGCCAAACTATTGCAGGAATATTTACAGAATCAGGAATAAATCTAGGTTGACTGAAATGGTGGCAAAGAAGAAACAGGCACTGAGATTGGAGAGAAGTTGAAGTCACATTTTGGTCTTCCACTTTTAGCAGGTAGAGATCGGCATTCTGCTTTATGAAACTTGACTAATGTAGTCATACCTTCATTCCTTCATTAATTTTAGAAATTCGTATCAAATATCTAGTTTTGAGGCATACAAATAAGTGAAAGGACAAAATCAAGTATTCGTTAGATACAGAGTCATCCTTCTTTCACACACAAATTTGTGTGTGAAAAGTCATTTTGTATAGGGCTTTATAGTTCACCTAGTTCTTTCCTATTTGTTTTATCAAAATTCAATTTTCAAATAATTCTATGGGCACATATTTTGTTTTCTCTATTATACTAATGAGAAAACCGGTGTCCTAGTGGTTACTATGGTTAGTTTCCTTTCAGGATCACCCTGAGAGTAAATAGCTAAGCAGAACCCAAGCCAAATCTTCTGGTTCCAAGTCATGATGGGAGGAAAGAGAAAGTGCTATGAGGTCAAAGGAAGAAACTGTCACGATAAGCTGGGGGACCACTGTTTTGATGAAAACAAATATTTGAGCCAGGACTATGAAGATTAATAAGAATTTGGACACACAAGAAAGGTGTTGGGAATGTGAGGGCTGGTAGAGGGCCTCACTTGTAATAAAGGACACATCCCCACATTGACGAGATGAGATGAGTCTTTTACACTTTGTGTGACAGTGACATCATTTGAAAAATAATAACATGTTCTCTGTCCAACACAGTAGGTTATTAGGGGGATTAACTGGACATTTGTATGAGGAAGTGTTTTTGTAATATATGAAGTGTTTTTCAAGTTGTAACATAATGTGACATGGATATTCTACCTTAAATAGATTTGACTTTTGAAGTTACTCTCAATTTGTTTTCTACATAGATACAGCATCATAAATTGCTGGCTTCTGAGGTTGCAATCAAGATCCACTTGATCTATGGTGTTAATAGGAACATTTCATTTTAACTTTAATTTTTTCCCCTCTAACAAAAAATGCAATCCAAGTTCTAATTCTGAACTCTAGGAATGCATTTTCCCTAATCCTGTTCACCAAATGACCAGTTCCTCAAATGACCAAATTATCAGGAGGTCAGAGTTGGGAAGTTTAAGCTCTGGATAGAGACTGAAAGCCTCTGTTTTAAGAGAGATAAGATAGGTAAAATTTTAGGGAAGATCTTGACTTCTAAACAGTTAAATATATGATGAGAGAGTTAACTTCTCTGCATCTTCCAAGAAAGACCATATATTCTGGGTCTAATCATCCTGAAATATTCAGGCTGAGTGAACAGATTTTTCCATACAAGACAGGAAAAGAGGCTGAACCTTCTGTAGCATTTTATGTATATGAATTTATTGTTTCAAGTTAGATGTTTATATGCAATAACTCACTATTATTACTTTTGTAGACTACGGGTAAAATAGAATATTGGTATCTTGTATTACTCCTTGAAAAGACTACGATAATTTATCTGATATTTCTTGTTACTATAATAATATCAGAATAATGACTGCATTTGCTTATGAAGATTCTGGCTCTTAAATGGCTGCTAGGTCTCTGGGGGAAGCACTGGGAAGACACCAACACTCAGGGAAGAGCTTTTGGGAAGGAAACTTTTACTTCCTTAACTAAATTGGCCAGTTTTAGTTAAGGAAGTTAATTAAATTAACTTAAGGAAGTTAAATTAACTTTCTTAACTAAATTGGCCAGTTTTCCCCTACCCCTTACACACAGACACACACACACACACACACACACACACACACACACACACACACTTTTTAGGCCACCAAAATTTCTGTGTGAGGAGGATAGTTTTTAAATTAACTGTCCTCTCTGGTACTGTCAAGATGCATACTTCCATGCTTTTCCAAATAAACCTTAAGAAAAGACTAGACTTTTGATGCCAAGAGGAGTATATAGCTATATCTCTTCTTGCCAGTCCATTAATGGATTATATCTCAACAATGCAGGCTCTCTCTTTGGCATTGCTTTCTGATATAAAACAGTATTTGCTTTCTAATTAATAATAAAAGCATTTTATTGTTGTTTTTGTTATTTTTGATCTACTTGTCTCTTTTGATGTGTAGCATGGGGCACGATAGATTTAGGGATAGATTTAAAGACTTGTCCCTAATGTATGATAATTCTCCTAGCTCTTATGAAATTTTGTAATATATGAAATAATTTGTCATTTTCTGAATGTTGCTAATGAACCAACTTTTAGTGATGGAAGTTTTCTTTTGTCATAATATTTTTTATTATTATTGCCCATATGTTAATAATTCTTTTGGCTGAATCCAGATATTTTATTAAACAAAAATGTGACTATATCTGAACAGCCAGAAAAACCCCAAAAAGCATTCACACCTAAACTTGATATAAACTCTCTCAAAAAAAAAAAAAAATTACCAAAAAAAAAAAAATTCTTCAGATTGGTCAAATGGTTTAACTTGCCACCTCTTAGGTGGATAGGCCTACTACTTCTTCCATTTACAGTAAGATAAACTGAGGGGGAAGGGGGCAAGTAAAAGATCTGTTAGGAATTGCTGGTGAGAAAAGACTAGAGCTATGTGAAATGTTAGGAGGCTGAAACCTATGGAGAAAGAAAACCAGTAAGACATTTTTGATGGTGGAGTGGCTTAAAGAATTTTTAGGAAAGTGGAGAGTCTTTGTTTAGTTACTTGCTATTTTAGCAGCAAGGTCAAAAGATTGAAAGTATAGTAGGTCCTGAAAATG